CGGCATTAATTTTTTTAACACTGGTTTTTCTTTGATTTCAATGGATTACTTCTTTTTAAATAGCGAAAATGGCAAAATAACCAAATAGGCTTTAGCAGCGGTTCTCAAACGGTGGGTTGCAAAAGGGGGGGGGGGGGGGGGTGGGAAGGGGGCCCCGTGGGGGTGGTCTTTAGCAGCGGTTCTCAAACGGTGGGTTGCAAAAGGGGGGGGGGGGGGTTGCGAAGGAGTCCCAGTGGGATTGGAGATAATTAATAAATTTATTTTCATTTACAGATTTCACGAAACCAGTCGAGTCATGTTTTCTGAAAGAAAATCTCCCCATGGATTTTTTCCTATTACAGCGAAAATAAATTCCATTTGAGGAATAATCCATATTTTAAAAATGTTGGGGAATACTTAGAGAAAATTATAGAGGTTATGTACCGTTAGTTTGCCTTTGAATTTGCCGGGGATGCCTATGCCCAGTCCCAGCTGTTGTGAATAACTATGTTTTTTGGGGAATCTTTCAGAGAATAAATGACATTGCTCTGGTGATATAAGTGGGCCTTGAATGCATATTGGAAGTGTGAGAGGGAAGGGAGAGAATGAGTTTCGCTTACTTCTGGAATCCTCCTTCCTTACCTCCCCCTCCCCCTTCCCTCCAGGCATGTCTGCGTCAAATGCGACGCCGTTTCCCCTCTCTCCAAATCAGGTTGTCAGACGTTTTTCTTTTCTCGGCTTGTTGGGAAAAATAAAACGGTGTCGCAATTGTCACCCAATCACACTGCTACCATTTGCGCGGGGAAATGCATGGTCTGAAGTTTGTGTCCTGCCCTCTCTTCCAGATCAACAGCTCAAGAGACATTCTCACGAACATAGGAGAAAAACACTGTCTTCGGTGATAATATTTTCTACTAGAGTCTTGAATTCTTCCATTTGATGACGGGATCTGTATACATGACGTACCTACCGACCGAACCTACGAAAAAGCAAAAGTGTTGCAGCACGAGTTCTCAAATTGTACACAGGCATATTTGATTTGGCTTGGGATCTCTGCGACCAGTGTGGGTGATGCTTCACTGACGGTCGCAGCTCTTCGCAGTCAGTGTGCATCGGCCTTTACTCCGAATATCGCATCCGACACGACAGAAAGGGTTATATCTGATTTTTCTCGCGACCATAAAGGCCTCTGAAGTAAACGAGAAAGAGCAAAAGAAAAAGAAAATCCAGTCACGCTTATGGTGATGGTATGGGGTTCTGCAGGAGCTTCACCTCTTTAACACACTAAATTGGGCTCCCGTTCGCGTCTGTAGGAAAGCTGGGCCGATATTTAATATTTCCCCAAGTACCGGCAAACCATCTGGTTCAGTTGCTCGAACATTTTTGTTCGAGCAAATGAAGCTAGATAACGCCTCAATAGCTATTAAGGCGAGTCGTCATTTCCTGAAATTGGGTAAGACCAGCTTTCACCCTGCTAGTAAATCTGTCCCCTACATCATATAATTCGTTAGAGATCCAATCCGCAACGTTCAGCCAAATTATGCGAATGTCCGACCTCAAAACGTGAACACAGAGTGAACACTGTCACAAAACGTGACAGTGCATGCACTTTCCTCTCGAATGGTGTAGATCCCAAAGCTCAATAAGGTGACAGGGGCGGATTAAGGAGAACCGCCTCGGAGGGGTCGCTTCGGCTTTCCCATTCAAAGTCCCCGCTATTTTTCATGCGGTACTTGATAGTACCCCACGGACAACTAGGGCTAGCAATTCTGGGGGATGGATGTTAAGGTTAAACTAGGGACCTCACTACATGTGGTGTGCCCATCTTTTCCTATAACTAGCCTTTGATTAGGAGGTAGACACAGGCGGATTTAGGGGATCTTTTATGACATGCGCTTCCAGAACGGGAAAAATAGATGCGAGATGGATGAAATCACCGTGGATTCTAATCCCAAGCGGGAAGTGAAGGCCCATGAAAAAGATAATCGAGGGAGGTAGTACTCGCTGGAATTTTTCCAGGCAGACCGAGAGAGACACGGCGGCATGAAGGCATCCAGCAACAGAGCAGAACAGTATTGCGGAAATAATTTTGATGTTCACATCAGGAATCTTCTAAGCGTCTAAATTACGTCCTACGTGAACGTTTGTTGGCTCAAAATTGGGCCAAAGGACAGTCTTGCAAGGGCTTGACATGGGTCTGCTGCCATGGATGAGCGATCGGATTCAATTCAGACCTTAATACTTACTAGGGTAAAGACCCCAGTTTTTGGCCACGCTGATACGACTCCCATAGGAAGTGGACACCCTGTGCGCGCACCGGGAAACAATAGGTCCTCGTACGGGAAGATGTTGCTTGAAAACGACCAGATTAACTATGCTGGATTTAAGCCTCACTGGCCAACAACTGGAGACCAGGGTGCTTACCCTACCATACAGATTTCCCGTGGTTGCTTCGTGAAATGACTGGGGACTTTGAGGAATCGAAAAATAAACCATCGAAGAGAGCACAACTTGAGATAAACGCTAGCAACTACCACTAATTCCTCGGTCTCAAATGCCTCGGTCTGAAACCGGAATTTCTTAAGCGCAAAGATAGAAAGCACCAAGCGAGGGCCGAAAGTATTTCCATTTAGTCGAAAATGGGTTCATTAGGTAACTCCCAGTTGCATTTTAAGAGCTAAAGAGAAGAAACACAATGGCGAATGGATCATGTTGAAATATAATAAATTATAGCCTAATAAGCTGTGGAGGGGGAACACAAAGAAACAAGACAGATCGATTGACGTAGAAACAAAATAAGAGTTCATTGCAGGCCATTCGAATGATGGTGGTGGTGGGGGTGGGGGATTAAAACGAGATAATCCCCTCTGCACGTCATCGCCGCTAGCTTATTTTTTTTTAGCTCGAAACATACTCACGCGTGAGAGGATATCGTCCACCAGACGCAGGATCGAGTCCGCAGCATCAACGCTTCACCTTGAACAGGACAGCTGAGGAACTGCAGGACGTCGCTTGGAAAGGGGATTGGCTACACTTCGGGCTTCACAGCAGGAACGAAAATACGTGGAGACGGAAACTAAGGAACACGAAAGGGACAAGGCATTTCGGGATCCCGGGTGATAGACCGTGCCAAGCCCCCGGGCTGAAAATATTCCAGAACGTTCAAGGTCCGGGTCGAGACTTGACGAGGCACTGTCGCCCATCACAACGTCCCGTGTCAAGGTCGTTCTTTATAACAGCCGACGTTTAGTCTCCTGACTGCCTGACTGTCCGCCCGTTTGCTGGAGACCTGCCAGGTCGATTTTTCCGAACCCGACCCGATCGGTTCGATTCGAATCGTGAACTCAACCGACCCAAAACTCGATCGCCGGACCGAGCTTTACAATCTCGGTCGTGTCGGTCCCATCGGGCCGGCTCGCTTAGGCCTCTGAGCTTCAAGACTCTCTCGGTGTAGACTTTTCGAAGCGACTCTGCTGGCGCTTCCAACATATCATGACGTCACATTTGTGCTGGCCTGTTCAGCGCTCTCATAGTTTACTTCGTCCCGCTGGCAGTTGCTAGTCCGAGAATGACATTAAATGATCGTGTCAGGCGCTGACGGAAAGAGGTGTCTTTTCTGCCAGCTGCTGTAAGTAGCCGGAGTACTTTAGAGTACTTTAGACGCCCTCTAAAGTACAGTGTATTTGCCCGCACCCAACCGGGAACTTGCCACATTCCATGCAACTTCATCATTCATCCTAAGCTTCATCCAATACCCGAGCGTTCAAAATTCGAATGACGTGTCTCACTTGAATGCCACGGGGCGAACTCGCTGAAACATGCTCGCTTGCATGCAGGCAAATGGAGATTCCCTGATGATGGAACGCATGCCCTATTATTGATCCAAAGCTTGGCTGCTTGAAATTCTTCTGCTTTCCTTGCTATTCTGCTTCTTAAACAGCTAATAAGAGACAGAACCCACAGAGAATCGTTTTAAAGGGAAATTGGGGGCCTCTGATGACTGGAAGCAACTCTCTTTTTCCATCTAATGCCTATGAGTTATAAATTCGTATGGTGTGTGATTAAACATTACGGGATGGAACTCCCTGAAAATCGAAATAAGGGGAAATGAGGGGGGGGGGGGTGGGGAGAGAGGAAGGATTACAGGACGCACCACACCAAATACAATCGATCCGAAATATGGATATTCAAAATTTCAGCGGTGTCATTTGAATGCTATGGGATGGAAGTAGATTAGCCTCTATCATGTTAATGTTTAACGGGCAACAGCTACTGTAGAATATGCTAACCCCTCTTGGAGATACTTTTGCGGGAGCATATCCACTTACTTCCTAATCACTTAAAGCTACATAGCTCCCTATTTTTTGTTTTGTCCATGAAGGCATCTGACCTCTTCGCAGTGGCTGATCCAGAGGGGGGGCTGGGGGGGGGGGGGGGGGGGGGCGGTCGTATTAGTTCTTTGCATATCATTAGCATCTACTATTTTACAAAGCCGGGCTTAGGATTATTTTGGTACTCAGCAGGCATACAGCCTGTAATTCAGTATTTAAAAAATACATGCGGCCCGCCGGGAACCTAAAAGGTTCACTTGCGGCCCGCAGTCAAAAAAGGTTGCTCATCACTGCTCTAAATCATTAATGTAACCTATATAGAAGCGGTCCTAGGATCGAACTCTGGCAGACTCTACTTGCGACTGCTACAAATGTCTACTTCACCATGTATAGTTATTAATCTCTATCACATTTCGTTATCTTGATGACAAGGGCATATATTTTACTATACTAGTACTGACGACCGTATCTCTTATCTTGCTTACCTACATCCACTCAATTGCCTTTCTAGGTGTGAGAACCACTCTTAATCTCGGTAGCTGTGTATTCTCCTTACTCCAGCAGTGCTTTCCTTCAGTGCTATTACGTGTTTAGCGTCCATCAGGAACTCGTGATTCAGTCACTGCAATTAACGAGTGCTGCACAATATCTGATTCTGTCCATTTGGAAAGGGTCATTCCAACAGGAAGAATGGCAACTGCCATCCAGAAGAAACTAATTGTGATCGACAAGGATCTGGATGATCACAACGGACTTGCAACGGATATTTCTGAATGCTTCAGGACTGGGCCAAGTTGGTGCGACGTCGTCATCCTCATCCAAGGCGATAAATTCTATTCCTGCAAAGGGATTCTCGCCTCCGTCTCTCCCTACTTCCGCCAATTGTTCTCCACCGACTTCCAGAACGCTTCGCAGCGGGAGATCAGGCTGGAGGGCTTCACCACGATCGGATTCAGGCCGGTTTGGCATTACATCCATGGAACGAGGGTGGAAGTGGATGGCGAGGAAGGGGCGTTGACCATTCTTCAAGATGCCCACTTCCTTGGGCTCAAACGCCTCTGCAACAAGATGAGCAAGGCCATTGAGGCATTGTTCAATTCCGACAATGCCTTCCGGATTCTCACCGTTGCCGAGCAATGCCACCTCGAGGATTTGAAGGAAGCTGTGATCGGTTACATTTTAGGGCAGTTTAATCGGGTCACCTGCACGAGCGAATTCCTGCGAGTCTCTTACAAAGTATTAAAATTGCTGTTGGAACGGGATGAATTATGGGATGTGTCATCCGCCGATGAGATTTACGAAGCAACGAGGAAATGGTTGGATCACGACAGAAGTCGGAAGCGTTACTTACCGGATCTTCTGAGCAAGATTCATCCTCCTCTCCTCCCTGACGAATATATCAAGATGGTAGTCCTCGAGGACCCCATTATTCGGGGGGATTCCACATGTCTCGACACCGTCGTCGAGACGATCGACAGACGGAAGTCGACGGTCCTTCCTACTTGCACCAAAGAGAGCACCAGACTCCATAAACATTTTTCAAGAACTGGAATCGAGTACACACCTGATCCTGCGCGGCACACGACCGTTTCGTGTTCCCCTGGGACACTGACCCGTGGGAAGAAGCTATCGACGTCGTCCTCAGCGGATGGTGGGTGCAAGTGCTTTCGTGTTTTCCCTACAGGCAGAAGTGAATGTACCTGTCACTTGCCTCTGAATTTCAACTCGTTACCATGAAGTAATGTGAAGACCATTTTTCAAAGGCTTTAACTCGTCCTGCGGCTCCTGCCTCTCTCCGGGCATTAGGGCAGTTTCTATATCCTATGGGCAAGACCCAAAATCACTACAGAAATAGTTAATTACGAAATATCAGAAGATATATCGGGACTTATTAAGACTAGGCCTAACTTATTCAAATCAAGCCTGGGCCTTCCTTTCGCTCCAAAGATTCTCAACCCTCGATATACGGACTAATTTTGCCCATGGAGGGTCTATCTGGGTTTTTTTCGCGACGATTCGGTGCCGAGTGTAACGTTGACGCCAAGCAAGGGCATATTTCGAGTTTCACAAACCATCTCGACTCGAGCGTCTGAGGACGGACTGCCTCCGAAATTCGAATGAATGTTGGACGCTGTAATCAGCAGTGATGTTCATGCAGTGTTGTCAATGCAGTGATGTCAATGCAAGGTAGGCCTAGGTCCATGCTGCATCGCGTCGATCAGCCGCAACTAATCGCAGTTTTCATCTTACCTCATCCCATAAAATCACCACAGGAATATACCATGCGATTCAGTAACAATAAAAAGAAGCATGCATCGATGCAAAAGTATCAATAGAAGCAGGACATCATTCCACCATAACTCCAGCACGATATCTGGCAACCGTGAGGGACAGGACCGGAGCCCACTTGATAAGCCTAAATAAGCGACATCCAACAGGCATTGAATCAGCGTTGTATAAACGTTAATTTTGATCATTCCCAGCGTTATTTCTAAAATTAAGTAAATATTTTCGTGTCGCTTATCTTAATACTCATGTGAACGTTGAAGTTCAACACTGGCTGAACTTTTTGTCCAGCTGCACAATAACATTCCACGAGTGCCACATGAACGATAATTTAGAACCTTACCGATACCCAATGAGTACTGAAAATTAGTACTGGCCAGCGTTGTAATGTCGCTTATTGGGGCGCTCAGTCGAAGATCGAAGGTCAAGATCGGTCGAAGATCCCCCAGCAAGCACAGACACATTCCGTATCAGTGCTTCTTCCGAGCGGTGTGATTCGACGGAAATCGACTCGATAGACGATAAGTACGGCGCCGGCCCGTCGAGGCCACTTCGCGGTCGTAATCTCGCGATAATCTCGTGCGACGTTCCGGGAATCCCCGATGAATTGCGCTGCTGAGCGTCGAAGCAATCCGTCGATGCTTGTAACATTGGATAGGCTCGGGGAAAAAAAGGTGATGTATCCCCTAGTGGATTGGCATGCTTCATGATGTTACCAGAAATACCGTTCAAAATAGCAATTTGACCCTTTCAGACCATTCCGATGGACATTGCATTTTCTATGGTAATTTCCTGGGGTTTTCGTGACTTTGCGCCCCATATTTTAGTAATCTTATATAATTACGTGTATAATATATATATGGTATGATATGGTAAATTCATAAAAAAATATATAAGAACGATACCTAGAATATATAAATTTAAAGTAGAATAAGAAAATATCTTTTTAAAAAAATGGGGGGGGGGGAAATTATTCCGATAGTGGCCTTAATTTCGGTTTTGAGAGGATCAGGACCGCCTTCCCGCCTCAACACTAAAATGATATTCGCGCATGTTGGACCTTTGAAGTTCCCGACACCAGCTGAACGTGCCCGCAATGCTGCTACGTTTGCCTATCTTCGTCCAGTCGGGAAGGCTTCGGTGCACTAATAATATTTCCATTCGTGTTTTCACTCGTGGACACGAAGCTCACGGGCAGATTTAAGATTAAATCATTCTGGGATTAAATCCTGAAGGAAGTTTCCCTCTTTTTTTGCGCCGGCGATGCACACTTTTTTTTTCGATTTCAGCCTGTGTCCCATTTAACTTCTGGACCTCGAAAATTCTGCTCGAGTGGTTTTCCACGAGCATGTATCTTGAAAAATGCAGCATGAAAAGTTCCTTCCGATTGGAATCTAACAAAATAACTTCTTTCGAAATACTTGATGGTGTTATTTTTAAAAGTTGAAACTTGAAAGGCTGGAGAAATAGCTCCAAGAGTAAAACGGGACAACCAATTTTTAAAGGCAAGAATCCAACCGTAAAAAAAAAAGAATCCAACCGTCTCAGTCCAATTCTGGAATTTCGTAATGCGAATTTTTAAAATTTATTTATGTGATGGCAGGCTAAAGGAATTCCAATATGATAATTTACAGTTTGCCTTTGACCTGTTCGTTCTGAAGCGGCTCCAGTTCGACGGCCTGAAACGAATATTCGATTTCTCGGATTCGGATTTGACCCAGTCCTGTGCACGCTGATGTCGATACGATTTAATTTCCAGACACCAAGAAGCTCCGGCCGTTTTTCACCAGGAATCCGTCGGAATTGGAAGGGGAAATCATCCGGACGAGCCTGCGCAAAGGGTCGCGAGGCCTCGGCTTCACCATAGTCGGCGCCGACGATCGGGGGGAGGGCTTCCTCCGCGTGAACAAGATGCTCCGTCGAGGACCGGCTTGGACGGATGGGAGGCTTCGAAGGGGTCAGGTCGGAGAGGAGAAAATTTCCACTGCATGCGATTCGTAGTTGACCGGTTTTTTTTTTTGGTTGTCGTGTAGGGGATGTGCTGGTTTACGTGGACGATCGTTGCGTGCTGGGCTGCACGTACCACGACATGGTGGCCGTGTTCCATGGCATACAAGTGGGAGAGCGGGTGGACCTCGTGGCTTGCAGGGGATATCCCATGCCGTCCCAGCCGAATCGTGCGAAGACAGAGATCGTCGCGGCCGCAGCTGGAGGTAACGAGTCCTTGGTGCCTTCAACGTCGATGGATGCGCGAGGATTCGTCACTGTCAAATTTTTGTAGTGTTTGGGAACTTTGGGTTACAAATGGATTTTTTCTCTTCAACACCCCATCTCTGGCGGAATCAGGAAAAATTCTTCATTTTTTTTATAGCTGGGACCACCAACAACCAAATCCGGTATATTTTTTTCCAATGCAGAATAAGCCGAAGACTAGTCCTTGATTTCCTCGTTACTATGGTGTTTTCCTCGTCGAAATCGTCCCAATAGTTGGGGAGATCGAAGAGGTTGAAGCCAGGAAAAGTTGGTGCTTGGTCACGGGTGCATTAAATCACAGAGTTACACAAAACACATTCGTAATGATGAAGAAAACCCAGCCCACGACACTCTTCCGCGACCTTTCTCTCTTTTCTCTAGCAAGTTAATACTGTAGAAGTACGAACAAGAGTCGTCTGGAAAAGAAGAGGCAAGTAAGAAAGCGTGACCAACGTGCACTTCCTCCGCCGATTTTTCCTCATTCACCGACAGTTTTCAAAACGAAAACTGTTCCAGAGATTTGTGTTATGGGGAATTTATACTACAACGCCCATGACCAGGAATGGCTTTTGCGGATGGTTTATCCCTCCCTATCCTTGGAAAACTTTTTTTTCTTCTCCGATATGACTTTGGAGTCATTCATAAGCGATGACTCTTGAGATTCCTGAAAAGAAGCGGAATATTTTAACATGTCACAAGAGAATATTCCGGATCTCGTTCATTTTGGGTCAACTATCTGTCCTGGTCTGATTTAGCAGGACATTGGGTGTTGATTCTGTTCCGTAGTCGAAGGTTCACGAGTGTTTTTTTTTTGTATTTCAGACATGCAATCGAGTAAGACTTGGCCTTATGCCCACTTCCATGACTCCGCATACTTCGAGAATCAAGACGGAAGTGAATCTGATGACAGCACGAACCAATTCGTCGCGTCTGAACTGCCCTGGGCAGACCAGCCTGGGAGTGCTCATCCGTCGACTGAAAACGCGGCTGGGGATCCTTACGCCTTTCGAGCTTGGGACGGACCGAGGAGCATTTCGCCGCCCGCGGTGGCAAGGAAGCCGGAGTTTGTCACGATTCCCATCGCGAAGGGTGCCAGGGGGTTCGGGATCACCATCGGCGACTGCGAGTACGGCCAGAACGTGAAGAAGATCCTGGAGCATTCCAGCTGCAAAGGCCTGAACGAAGGAGACATTCTGGTGGAGATCGACGGTCGCGTCGTGCGAGGGATGACCCACGCGGAAGTGGTGCAGATCTTGAAGGAATGCCCCGAGGGCGGTGAGGTCATCCTGGTGGTCCAGCGAGGACCCAAGAGGTAGGGGCTGGCGAGGGGCCGATTCGAACGGAAGGGGGAAACGTGATGGCAGGAGGGCGGAGGGGGTCCGGATTCGCTGCTGAATTTCGCGATGTATTATGGAGGAAAGCGGAGGGGAAATGCGGTTCTTTTCGCGATGTTGTGGCTCCGTGATGAAATTCCCTGGACCAAGAAAAAAAGACAGCATTAAGAACTACCGTGAACTATAAGTAATTTTCATTTCCTTGTATCATCTGCTTGGTACATTTTAGGGAATGCCGCCCGTCAGAATAACTCTTGGACTTCCTTATTGGAATCAATAAAATATGACTAAATCCTGGAAACGTTTAGCGCAATGAGAAAAGGCAAGGAGAATGCGAGTGGGTCGACTGGCCCGGGATAACCCAGAACTACCTTACTTACCACGTACTACCTTTCCCTCCTATCCAGCCTGGTCTAACCTGTTCCATTCCACCGGAAGCGGAGAAGGGCAATCTCAAAGTGAAGCCAATGGACTGATCCCGAGAGAAGACGTCTTGACAAATCTAAGCAGCATTGGCAGATGGCTTCAGCCGCACTCCTTTCTGAATAGAATCGCTGGAAGCTCATTTTCCTTTCCAGCTTTTAATCTGATACTATGAGAGGGCCCGCTTTGTCCCCTCGGGGTGTTAATATCTAGACGAGGGGAAAGAAAGAAATATCTCCAATACCAAAGTCCATCGCCACTCCGCTTTATCCAGACTGGACGTTTGCGAACAATCCTCTGGACGCAACATTTTTCGGCTATTAATTTTGCCATACGAGTCGAAAACGGAGGACGGAACCGTCCCCAGAGCTTATGCAACTCATTACGACAGACGAACACATTCTCAGAGATTCTCTTCGAATGTTCACATTTATGCGATTCTGCGTATTCGGCTGGGATTCTTTCCGAGAGAAAATTTCAGGAAAAATTGTTTTTTACCCCAAAGGTTTCGTGTGCGAGCGAATTTACTGACAAAACTGAGAACGAGGGAATGGAGACTCGCTCGGTTCCATCTTTCCCCTAAAAAAAAAAAAATTGGCTTCGTCTGGGTTGATTTCACTCCAATAAATGATATGGAATCGTATCAATTTAGGATGAGACGGATATGACGTCTGTCGCCCAATTTCCTGCATGCTTCAATTTCTTGATGGAGAATTGCGAAGTCATTTCTAAAGAATTTGAGGTAAAAAAAAATAAGAGGGGGGGTCTCAGCGGAGCGAGATTCGGCGTTCACGTGCAGCCGCTGTATGCACACAAGACTGGGGGAATTCTAGGATCCTGGGTGGATTGCGTGAAACTGACTTTAGCCGAATGGAGCTTAAGGGTGGATTTTTGAACAGAGCACTATCCGATAATGCAGCTTTATTTACCGGATTTATAAGGCTTTTTCTCCGAAATAAAAGTTGCATTATCGGATAGTGCTCTGTTCAAAAATCCACTCTTAAACCTCCTTTAGACCTTCAGCGGCGTAAAGGTTTAAACCTCCTTTAGGCTATAGTCAGTTTCATGCAATCCGTCCCCTTTATCGCTTTCGTTGATCTGAAAAATAAAACATCCGGCCTGGTAGAGAATGGGTGGGTTCCCAGTTCATCCAATTGACTTGTGTATTGGAGTTTTTGCATACTGGAGACTGAAAATTGTACATTTTAAATTTTTGTCCAGAATAATTTTCTAATAATCGTGAGGGATTGCTGTAAGAACGGTATGCGTAGAGGATTGGCTGGATATTACGTGGCAGTCAAACCTCATGGGTGAACTTGAATTGAAATTTTTAACCATCCTCATGGAATGGTTAATACCCTCGCCTACGCCGTGAACTCAGATGGTTTTGGGACCTGAACAATTCGAGGAAAATTCCCTTATTGTCTTCACGTTTTGAGACCGCTGGACGTTCGTGTAATTTGGTCGAAAACGACGGATTGGATTTCCTAACCTCAACTAAAACCATGCCAGATTCGACTTTCACGTCCTAACTGTACCTTGAAAGTACTAGCAAGTTACATATCTGGAGTGCTGGACGAGTTCTAGAGACTGATTCACACCATAATTCTCTCTAATGAAAGGGGAAACTTTATTTCTTGGCACAAAACATATGTTCACCAAGACCAATGTATTAATTTCCTATCTCAAAAGATGCATATAGATACTGCTGTGCAGCAGCTGAAACAAAAACACACATTCTAGAGTTCCATAGGATAAGGATGGCACAGTCCTTATGGTCACTGGAAGAAGACTAGGTGATCTTGAGGAAATCAGAGGTATGAGGAAAGATAATTATTTCCTGCTACTGCTGCTAATGTCCTGATGCATTGCTATCACAACCACATCTTGGAATGTTGCGCAATCCCTTTCTTCGACCGTTCCTGAGCCCAGTAATGGAACAGGGACTCACAGAAGCATTTAGATATTTCACTTCTCCATTTTGAAAGGAAATGCACACACCACTGGGAATTTAAGTTCAGAGCACAAAAACCATTTGGCACCCATGAAATCCTGCCTCATTTGCAAAAATGCACCACCATAATTAAACTGAAGATGAATCTTCATCTGAAGCTCTAAAAACTGTCACGACCAAAAAATAATTTTCTCTGGTTCCAACTTGAACAAAACCTTGAAAGGAAGTGTACCTTGCCTCAAATAATTTCTAGCTTCATGCAACCACTTCCATAATTTTATGTTATGACACTTGAATTGAACTGCATACCTCTTTTGGAAATGAAATTGAAAGATGGCTCAGGCTTAGACAAGTTGAAGACCTCATTCACCCAGAGTGTACTAATGGCAGTGGTGGAACAAGCTCAAGGTTTAACATCAAAACTAACCTGGGTAATAAACTATGTCTCTCTATTGGAGGTGGGGGTCCCTTTAGCAAAATGAGAACAGGACACAGGCAGAAAAAGACAAGAGGCCAGCATCAGACTATGTCGATGCAATAAAATTAAGTACTTGAATATCAAATCATTCACTTTTTCATATCTTAAGTGCTGATGAAACATACTGGGATTCTAATTTATCTGCTCTTACCATAATATCTGTGATATTGTGTAAATTAATTATTCCACCAGATGAGTGCATATTTAATACCAATAAAGGCTTTAGATCTAATTGAGCCAATTCCAATAATGACAATATTTGAGTACCACAACTAACACATTATCTCCATTCATGATAATGATGTGCCATTTGAATAATCCCATCCAAGACACCTTGGGCTGATAATTTGTAGGTGCACTGATCAAGAACTTTTAGATGTACACACTCCTTGCTTAGGGATCTTTTGTGCCTGTGTCTCATTCTTTACATGTGCAAGGCTGATAGTAAGAAGAAATGAATGATTTTTGTAAATGAAATTTCACAAAGACATTCAATACACAACAGCCAAATTGGCTTTTGATTAGAAAATGATCTAACTGCAACCTGTGATTAAAAAATTTCACATTATTGATTATAATGAAATCAATGGGCATAGTTGAGAGGAATCACGATCAGGTGATATGCGATAGAGAGGGCGTGAAGTTCTCAACGCCAAAACAGTCGTATTTTGCATGAGTCCTAGCCCTCCACTTTGACTAGAGGGGAAGAAACATGAAAGTCAAGTCATTTTTATGCCACTGCTGTGTCTGGATTAGCTTGTTCCTGGTTCTTGAACCATGGTGTTTCCTTGTAGAGGAACCACAAATTCCCTCCCCATAGCACAAAATTCAGGAAGCCCAAGATCTGCAGGATGGAAAAAGGACACAAGAGGTGAATCTGGCTTTGACCTCTTTGAATCTCTGGGCATTAATGCAGGATGCACTGCACTTGCACCATACAAAAGCCTATAATTGGGCACACTCTTGCAAGGCCATACCTTATAAGAGGTACTTTTTCTGTAGAAGGTTTAATCAAATATTTTATACAAAAAGGAAGCTTTCATTTTCATGAAACATACCACTGAGATGGTGAGTGGAGCATACTGTACTGAAGTGAGTCCAGAACACTTAGTATGTTCATCATACCCATTAGTGTGACAGAAGGCTTTGGCATAGTTATCAGGGGAAGTGCCATGCTTCAACATTGACAGTCCATTAGCCCATGCTGAGCTTCCTGCTAGCCAGAAAGTTGCCAGGATCAATGTCCCCACAAAATCCTGAAACAAAATCAATAGATATGTTTTCTGATACAAAGAATGAGTTAAAAAAAGAAATGTCAGTCAGTACTGATGGGCTGCACTCTGAACCAACCAATGCATACCCTTCCATAGTTAATCTCTCTCAGCTCAAGGTTGTGTCCCAAATTTCCCACTCATTAAAAAGTTGAACTATAAATAAAACTAAACTATAAATAATTGCTTCTTTCAACTGAATGACCAAGAGACTTCCAAATTTTAAATATGTTGATGTATTATCTCTGAGGTATAAAAAAAATTATGAACATCAGACTTCCAATGTAGGCATTATACAAATGTAAAAGGAACTAATTTTTTTTGCACCACAAGATACATGCATAATGGCCAAACATATATACACCATGAAAAGTTGAAACTACTGAGAAACCACAAAAATAGAGTGAATACAGTTGCTTAACATGGGAAAGATTAATGATTTTTCACCATCTTGCCTATTTTTGCACAAAAGGAATGAATGAGAGAAAGTAAGTTTGGAACATTTTAAGCACATTCACTGCCTAAAAATATAACAAATGCATGGTGAATTGACAGAGCTTTCAGAGGCTGGCAGAAAATGTCCAGTGCCAATGAGAGCCAAAATTGGCACTTGACCACTCTAGTCCACCAGCTCCTGCAGTTACCAACTTGCAATGTCTATCTCCCTGTCTCTACCCATCTCATCTCTTAAAACCCATAGAATCCCTTTCCCTGCCATTCATGTTTGACAGCTTTAAGGATCCACTTGAAGGTAGCAGTGAGGAGGTTGCACTCACAACTGATGGGAAACATGTTATTTCCTTCCACCCTTCTAAAAGATAACATTGGAAGTGACATGGAAACAGTGACAGCAGTATGGTAATTTCAGAAGCCAGTGAGCCAGGGGTAGAGTCAAGCTTCAGGTTAGATTATTCATTGTACATCTGCAACACCTGTTAGCCTGGCCTTTGATGAAAGCCAAATCCTCCTTATAAAATTTCTATTTTAGATTAAAACAGCTCTTGCTGGCCTTCAAGTATGGTTCCAAAATATTTCATTTGAGACTAGAACTGGACTCTTGGATATATTACCAGCTGCCTAGGTGCAACTTTGCATCTCACTCACAGATACACATATTAGCAATGGGAAAAAATTTCCCAACTTCCATCAGATGGGCAACATTGTTTCTCATCCTGCCCATCCTAAGGCTGGAAAAGCAGCTCCTGCATAGATAGGCTACTTAAATTCAACTAGGGCATTACGATGGGATATGCAAACTGGCGCAAGGAGGGGAGGGGATAGAAGCTCACACAAGGGGGGCAATGCTTCCTTGTTTGCTTCTCACTCACCAGACTATCCGATTTGCAATCTGAAGGCTATTATCTTTTCACTAGCAAAATCACAAGATATACTTGCCATTCATGTGTGGGAATTTTACATGCCTGAGATATACTGGCTGTCCATGAAGTTACTTTCCTATTTCAAAAGGTACTATCTCCATTTCAGAGCAGCCTAGAAACTTCATATTCAGCATAGAGGATGTACAGCCAATGGGATTTATGACAGCAAAGTTTCCAAATGTTTCTAGATATCACCACCGAGGCAACACAAGATTAAAGGTGGATCGCTACACATCAAATGCAGTAATGGTCTATGCTCCATCATCTCAAAATTCAAATTTTTTTTAATGCTTCCAAGTCCGAATATTTTTAAACGGCTCTCAGATAAAAGTGATACTTTTGGCAGAGTCTCATGTAAGGTTTGAAGGCTCAAAAGATAAGCCATACAGGTTTTTCTTTTTCTACATAAACATTGGCATAGCACAAATATAGGGGGCTCCCCAGTCAACAACAGCACCCTCTTGCAGATTTGAAAAATCCTCTTAGATTCATGAACTTCTCTGTCAAGTATCAACTGCATCTAACTGTCCCTTGAAAAGTTATGGCCAATCAAAATAAGGTGGTGACATAGTAACAATGTAGTCAGGAATTTAATGTCTGGGGGTTGGGGATCATTTTGTGCCCCCATGATCAAATCAAAATTCACTTTTCTTGGCCTCTGCTTGAAGTACAGACATATATTTTTTGTCTGTGGACTTGCCTCAAAATAATCAGACTGTTTATCAAATTTCATTTAATTCTGAGATAGTCGAGCACAGATCATCACCTCACTTTATGTGGAATGATCCACCTCTAAATTGGCATTGCACGACTTAGGGAGGGGTACAGAAAAAAAGCTGACATCTCAATACCCTGTAACCGTTACTGTTGATTGCATAGCCAGTGTAAAATTTCTTTGCCTTTATGAAACTGTGTTTCTTCCATAGAAAATTGTGGAGCGTTTTTTTTAAATCACACTATATACAAGGGGCGTTCAAAATGTTTTTTCCCCTGAGGCACTTTAAGTTGTAATACACCATTCATATTTTTTTCATAGAAAGACAAATGTCTTTGATAATGAATGGAAAATTTTCAACTTATTTGTCTATGATGGAAAGCTTCTATGAATTTTTCCAATGTGCTACCAAGGAGTCTGTTGAAGGGGTATTAAAATTGAAAAGAATGATGTTATGAATTTTCTAACCTTGAAGGAATCTTTTTCCTTCTTGGATCTTGCAGAGTAGGGTCAATAATACAGTATCCTCTGTCAACAAAAGATCTGCTGAGGAACTGACTCCTTCAAGGTTAGAAAATTCATCACAGCAGTCTTTTCAATTTTAATACCCCTTCCACAGACTCCTTGGTAGCACATTGAAAAAAATTCATAAAAGCTTTCCATCATAGACAAATAAGTTGAAAATTTTCCATTCATCATCAAAGACATCTGTCTTTCTATGAAAAAACTATGAATGGTGTATTACAACCTAAAGTGCCTCAAAGGAAAAACTTTTTGAACGCCCCTCGTATGCATTCATGGGAGGAGGGGGATGGACAAACATACAGCAAGAGGAGTCTTTTTGTCATTCTGGTAGAGGTCATCCATGAAAAGATAGATGAACAGAGCTGCCATTGCCCACAGCATGGAAAGGACCCCTGTTGCCACAAAGAACCTTGCATCAGATGCCACATTTACGTGGAATTTTGCCATCTTCGGTGCACCACACACACTCACACTTTGCTGCTCGTGGGCCAAACTGTCTCAAAAGAAAGAAATATCTAAAGTGAACCCATTCACCATCATAAGTGTGACTCTCACAAACTCAACAGCTGGCTCAGATATCAATTCATGCCAAATGAAGGCATTAGTTTTATTGCAAAAGGAAAATGCTCAAACATGATACTTCAAAAGCAAATTGACAGATAATACATAGTTTACCATCCTTCCTTTTTTGATTTTGCATTATTACTTTCAAAATAAATGCACTGCATTGTTTTATTTTTTAATTTTTGGTTCCAATCCTGTCAAAAGTCAACATAATAAGCTTCACAAGAATGGAAATTAAAAACAGACCTGAAAGGATAATTAACATGGAGACTGACATCAGAGCTGTTGGTAGGACATGTTACTTTGATGGAGAAATCCCCTGAGAAATTGGTGACAGTTGCAAAGGCAGCAATGGCAAATACCTGAAACAAAAAAAAAATAAACAGAATTTTGCACACTGTAGCAGCTCAATTAAGCTATTGTATGGTGAGGGGTTACAAAGTGTTAATAGATGAAAAGTATGACAGTCATCCATCTTTCCGTACTCCCTAAAGCAATGAAGCAGTATATAGGGCATTTAAACATAAAAAACCACTCCACTGTTTTCTATGGGAGAAACAAAGTTTATTAAGGGCAAAAAAAATTTTTTTTTGGCAATGCAATTGACATTGGACAGTTACAAGGTGTTGAGATGCATGTCAGCTTTTTTTCAAAACCCATCCCTAAGTCATGCAATGTGCCCACTTAAGAGGTGAATTTTTCCACCTCAAGTGAGGCAATGATCTATGCTTGACCATCTCAGATTTCAATTAAATTTGGCAGTCTGATTATTTTGAGAATAGCCTGCATACAAAAAAAAGCATATGTCTGTACTTGAAGTGGAGGCCAAGAAAAGTGAGTTTCAATTTGATCATGGGGGCACTAAATGGCTCCCAACCCCCAGATGCTCCATTCCTGACTACACAGTTATTATAATGTCACCACCCAATTTTGATTGGCTACAACTTTACAAAGGACAGTAGGATCCAGCTGATACATGACAGAGAGGTCCATGAGTGTAAGAGATTTTTCATATCTGCAAGATGGCATTGTATGTCAATAGCGGGTGCTGTTGCTGTCCTATATCTTTGTGCTATGCCACTTTTTAAGCAGGAAAATGAAACCTGTAAGGCATATCTTTTGAGCCTCTGAACCTTACATGAGACTCTCTGCCAGAAAATATTAGTTTTATATGAGAGCCGTTTCAAAAGATTTGGTCCTGAAGGAAATTTTAAAAATATGAATTTAGTCAAAATCAGTTTGCATCCCAAACAGTGCTAACTACTCTATTTGAATGTGAAAATGAAGCATAGACTATTACTGCATTTGAGGTGTAATGATCCACCTGTAAACTTTGTAATGGGATAAAGCATAGCTAAAAGAACTGTTATGAGAAAAACCCAGATAATCTTCTCAACACCTTGTACATGCCCAATATCAAGTGTTTATGAATCTTACTTTCTCCCATAGAAAATGGTGGAGCGTTCATTTTGAATTACCATATATATTCCTCCTGGTTTTGAAAGATAAAGCAAAATAAAGATGACTATGAAATGTCTAGAAATGATAGTGCTCCCGTGAAAGGATACAAGGGAGCACAATGAAATTTGAGCTATCTGATTGTCATAGTTTACATCAGACAATGTATCTACAATTTTTCAGATAAACAATAGCTGGTTTATTAGTGGGTAAGAGTAAAAAAAGGCATTGATTGACCACATTTGTGAAATGACATTTCATGTGATACAAGATGCTGATACAGTCTTTATGCACTTGAGGGAGGCCAGAGCCATTGAAAGTATGGAAAAATTTGTGAAAAATCACTGGAAAAAGGGTATTGAAGAGAGTGAAACTAATTTCAGCAGCAATAGACCTGAAAGGCTTTCTCAGGAATCAAAGGAAATTGTTCAAGAAGCATCTGTATGGAAAAACAAAAGTCACAGTGAAACTGGAAAAGAGATTCTTAAGATCAACTTGTTATTTTATCAGCACAAAGGTCTGGCAGCAAATCATGAAATTGCCAAACTCAGAAAGGCTCAATTGAACTTTGAAGACCATTCAAGGTTAGCTGATATTTTGTGTGAATGGGATGAAAATTAAGTTCTCCATTTGTCTATAAGTGAGTTCTTCATTTATATTATCAAAATGACAGGATCTGGAGTAAAGCATTAGATGAGATTGAAGAAGAGCATTCCTGAGAGATTTAAAAAATGCCCTACTGTGCTGGTGTGTTTATGGTCTTCACAGCATAAGAATTGCTGTGGTGAGGCCTTGTGGACAGAGTTATGATGAACTTATTTCAGAGAACATATTCTCAGCAATAATGTGATTTCATTCTTGAGAGATCCTGATAACATTCTTGATACTGACCAAGCCATTCACCTCCATGATTAAAAGCATCATGCTTTGCAGCATTTGCCTCTCAACAGTTTATGAGTAAAAAAAAAAGAATTTAATTGATAATGTGCAATGGCCAGGAAATTTCCCAGATTTGAATGTGTGAACACTGATTGGAGCCACCTCCAAGGACAAAGTGGAAAAATGATGCTGCAAGAGCCTGCAAAAAATCAATTTTCGTGAGTAGACATGGAGAACCACATGATCACTAAAGAGCTTTGCAATCAAGCTCATTTATTTTGTTCACTGTCAATGACATATCCAAAGCACTTAGACACTGTGTGACAATATCAAGAGGGAAAGACTGAATTCTGAAGTACCTTCAGCGGATGTAGAAATAAATGCCCTTTCAGATGAAATCATTCAATTTTTTAGAATTACGTCAGTCTTTACCACTATCACTTGCAGGCACTCTTTATTGTATTTTCAGATTAATTTTCAATACCCTTAACCCTTTGAGGAGTATGCCTGTGTACATGGGCTGACATCTTCCTGCCCCCATATATTCACTATGAAGGATCTTGCAGCCGTTAAAAAAAAACCCACTCCTCAAAGGGTTAAGGAGGAGGATTGCTGAGAGGTAAAAGAATGAAGTCTTTAATTTAATTACATTTTACAGTCACAATGCATTGGGGTTCCCACAATATTTCACTTGCATTGTCACAAGTTCTAGATGATCTATTAACCCTTTTACACTCCAAGCCCATAAATGGGAACAAAACTAATGGGAATTTTTAGCAATTTCTTCTAGCATTTTCACAACTTTGTAGCATGTCATGCTAACATGTAGTCTCAGGTTTACATTGCATTTTCTCAATCAATTTTGAGTGAATATTTGACGTTAGTCAACATTACATGGCATCATGGCACTCACCATATAGAACCAGTTCCTCTTAGTCAAGTTGGATTCCCTTTGCTTGCAATTGCAGGGGAAAATCCCTCATGAAAGGCATAATTGAAAGATAAGAACACAATAAAATCAGACCTGGAGGCCAAAAATGAGGATTTTTTTATAATTGCCTAATTTATTTATCTCTATGTAAAAATTTTTTTAAAAGACTTAATCTTCATAAATGAAAAGCTACTCCTAAAAATAAGACATTTCTACATGTCTACAGGATTGGGTGCTGGTTCTGAAGAGTTTATTGAGCTAATCAAGCATCAGCAGTGACTACAAGCACATCTATAGATTTAATTTAATAACAGCATGTATAGCAGACCAAAAGTGCAAAAATGATCTACTCACTAACTGATGTAGTGCAAGCATGTAATGTTTAACTTTTGGTGCCTGGGGAAATATTTGTGAGTAAAGAAAAAATTAATCATGAAAACAAGAATTTTGAATAATTGCAACTCAGACAGGCACACATGGAGTGGAATGCCATAATAATTTGACAGTTTATGAAAACCTTGTGGCAAAAGGAAATGCCAGGTGATAGAAATGAGTTGTGGAATGTTTTACACAAACAGGTTGGTAAAATTTACTCTACTACCTCTGGTAATAATCAGGTAGAATCCATTTATAGGGGGCAGGTTCTTCATATGTATAGGTTATTCATGTATGCTAGTACTTAAGACATTCTATTTTATTTAAATAATTCTTGATTCCTTACAAGAGTGGGATAGTTTGGGATATGAAGTACATGCTGTCCCATACTCATGTACTTAACCAAGCATCAATCACTCGCATACACAACACCAATGCAATACCATTGTAACAAAGAGCAGATTCTGGGAAAACCACTCAATTAATAACACACAAAAAAACACAACAATCACTTTTCTGGTAGCTATTCATTTGGCATCTACATTTCTCACACTTCCCCAAAAGGGCACTGGTGGTGGTAGTGTTTCAACTCTAGGAACATCTATTAAATACCAGTTCATGTTATATGAAAGACTGGAGAAAATAATGGTCTCACTGGTGTCAATAGGCTGACAGAAAACAATGATTTGCATTATAAGGGTACATGAACTCATTGCAAAAGCACTGTAGTGAACTTGGATTGGTTCACAAGCAAAGGCTGCCCACTGTCACACCATGCTGCAGACACCATAATCAGCAAAGGAGCTACAGCAGCATTCATCAAAGAACCTTGCTGTCATGAAGGAACAATTTAGCTCTGTTGTTTGAGTACAGGTGTACAAACTATAACATTACAGGCACCAAAATGGGGCAATAGATTTGAGGCTTTTCAGAACAGATGGTTTTGATTGGTTAGATCAGTGAATACTAATAGACATAGTAAACCAAGAAACCAGGTAAGAAGTCTGGGAAAGGAAAAATTCAATTTCTTGAAAATGAAAGGGGGGGAGATATAGAGAAGAGAGGGATAAGGAAGACATCAGTGATCTACTAGCCCACCTAGGTGGACTTGAAGGCTAAAGATACCACATTACAAAAGGAACCAAAAACCAATCGATTTAGCTCCATTTGAAGTTGAGAATGGTTGCAAGTCCAACAATGCTGAAACTTAAGCTATGATGAGAAGCAATGTGTCCTTACCCATTGCAAGCATTTGATGAAGCCACGTGGCTCTTTCAAAGGTTCAATGTTGAAAGCCAACATTATCAGCTTCTGTGAAACCTAAGAAAGACATAAATCCAATCACTACAAAAACTAATATTATGCCAAGTAAAGGAAGGGCAGAGTATGTATCACATTGCTTAACTAAAGGCTTAAAGGTAGCTATGAAGTTGGGATAAACTTGAATTCTTCAATTGTTCAAATACTAGGCAATTCAAGACATTCAAATAGATTTACACCAGTGATACCCTGAAGTTCCTTATGCATACCAACATTTGAACAAAAACCAATGGAAGAGTTTGGTGTCATAAGCAGATGTTGATTTGAGCAATGCTTATGGAGTATGAGGGTTAAAAAATGCTTAAAGCACGGATGGTGTAACAAATGGAAACAGGCAACAAATGGAGCAAGGCAAAAATAAAGTTTGCAGTACATCTTGTATCATCCTCCATCAATGCTATCAGTCTTATCTCCACTTGGCACAAAGTGGGGGTGAGACTAAGGGCTTTTGTGGAGGCTTAGGAACATGGCAAAAATTTGGTGAATTTTGCCTTCTTCTTGAACAAACTCTCACATCCATTTGCAGGCAATTATTGGGCTTCCCTCAGTAACCAACAATAGCAATAAAAAAAAATTGAACCACAAGGAAATTAAAATTTTCTGGATTCTGTACTTTTCAAACCACCTCCTTTCAGGGCTAGACTCCAAGTGCATCTGTCTCCGTATGCTTCCCCAGAGTTTGACTCCTTGAGCATGATACCATGTAAGCATTACTAAATACCCTAGATGTGTCACTGCACAGGCCTATCAATAGTTTTAAAGTTTTAAACTGTTTTAAGCAGAAGTGAGATAGGGGTGAGAGAGTTTCCTCAACATTCTTTTAGAACTTCCCTTAAATAAATGTACCATGACTCATGATGAAGTGACCCTTCAGTGGATGGAGAATATTCTATTGGCTGGGAAATACTGGTACTTTACCTTATCACTCTCCATTTATTCTTAATTTCCAGTCATACCATAATTGGTCAGTTTCTCTTCTCTATGTTTATATTCTCCAGACACAAAGGCACATATATGCAGATGTATAAATGAATATGAGTTCTGGGTGAGAACAAAAGAGGTCCAGAAGAATGGATTTGATCAAGGCAATGACCAAATGTAAAAATAATGCTCTGAGTAGCTTATTGAGACCAAAGATTCCAAGTTTCAAAGTAATTATTTTATTAGGCTAGTACAACAATTCTAAAATGTCCTACCTTCCATTAACCTTTAACTCACAAGTGGGATTCACACAATCCCAAGGAAAGCATTCTTAGACTCATAACTGGGATCTCCTCAAACCCAAGAATAATGGAGTACATACTGTACATCCATGATTCCATCACCAAGTACATGATGTTTGGACAATTACAATGATAGATATAGGCTTTTCTCATAAGATAAACAAAATGTATTTAAAGGGACACCAATAAAACCTGCTAGGCAGGGTTCACTTATGGCATTTAAATCCACCTTTTAGAGGTTAATGAGATTAGAACCTCTCCTCACACTTTAATGAAAATTATACCATATCATTAATAAACCCATCTAAAGTGAGACCTGACTTTTACCTCTCTTCATTCATTTCAATGTCATTTAGGGTCTAACTTTTCACACTGAAGATCCTCTGCTAGAGAAATGTGGTAAACATAACACAGGAAACAATATTGATTCCTTCATCATTGTGTCACAGGACCTCCTAGATCCTATTTTTTAGGATTCTACAGCACTACACACACCCCTCCCCACTATCCCCCTCCTGTTCTAACCTAGAACCAGTCTCCAATACTAGTCTTGCCATTTGGCACTTTTCAACACAGTTGGGGGTCAGTTAAATTTGCCAAGGCTTAAAATATGGTTCATGGTTGCCTATGGACCTTACCAGGCTATAATGCACAGGGTTTCCCATAAATCCCTTTACCCCTATGTTTTTTTTCCAGGTGAGTTGTGGTGAGGATTTGTGAAGATGGCAGAAGGTATGAGCTTCCAAAGCTCCTTTACATTCTCTTTGGTAAACATTTTCCTTGACCCAACCCCAAAAAAAAAGTCAATGGAGTGAGATAAGGGCTTCTTCTCCCAGGCCAATCTGTTAGTCCAAGCCTGCCTATCCACCTATTGAGAAAGTTTAAATGTTACAGAATTTTGTGCAGTCTGAAGTCACTAGGAGGCCTAATGCACACAAGTTGCTCTTACCACAGGATTGGACTCCACCTGATTTCACTGTCAATGTTGAACTGGTTGGACAAAAACTTTCCCAACAGGTGGATAGACAGGCATGGACCAACAGACTGGCCTGCAAGAAGAAGCCCTGATATCATGGACATATTTTTTTGGGGTTGGGTCAAGGAAAATGTTTACCAAAGGAAACCTAGATATCTTGACCAGTCTGAAAATTTTATCAGGGAAGTTACACAGAATGTTCCAAAGCAGTTTCTCT